GGGTGTTGGGGATGAAATTCTCGCCTTGGTCATCACTTTTTTGTCAACACACTCTCTTTTTTTATTGTGCGACAGAAGGGGGTGGATTGAATGTTTGCCGGGTCAGTGGGCGCAAATGGACCCGCCAAACACTGCGTGCGTGGCGTGCACTCGCGTGGCACTTTCCCCGATTATCACGGAAAATTTACATCACACAGGGATGACATTTGAGGGTGGGGCGCGATGCCTTTTTTTCGCCTTCCGCGCTGAACTCTGACTCCCTCGGTCGCCGAGTGCTGGGAATAGCAACGTCGGGACGCGTCATGTGTTTGTATCCTAGCAACCGACGAGATGGGGATGCCACACTCTGTCTGGGGCCGCAACCCCACACCCTCCAGCCCCCGAAGATGACAAGCTCTTCTGCGGTTTCGCAGTGAATTCCTCACACTCACCTCACTCACGCTCTGGCGCTGCTTTGCATCTTCTGTCCATCACGCACGACTGGATCGTCATTGAGCACGCCATGTGTCCTGAACTGTGTGCTGCTGCTGCTCTTTTTACTGCCAACACCGACAATTCTGCACACCCTTTCGCCACCCTTGGAATATGGCAGAGAGAAGAGGTCGAAGACATTTTATTTATTGGTCGATTATCGTTCCCAGAATGACAGGGAGAAATTGTGAATTTTTATGGTGTTATATTCCGAAAATTTCCCTAATATTGATCGTTCAAGTTTGATGCAACATTCTCACTCTCTCTCTCTCTCCCTCCCTCGCATAAAACATATTTGCTCACAAAGAGCATCGCGATCTGAGTGGGAGTTGAGCAACATCTTTGGGAAATGCAAAGATATGAAATGCAAAAAATAAGAATTCCTCTTGAAAATACTCGTCTGTGGTTGATTCTCAAGTCTTTCTCTCTGCTCTTCTTCCTTCACATCATCATTTTGCACATCTCTTCGATGAAACGTAAGCATAAATTATTTATCAAATGAGACAAAGCTGAAGCATTCGAGAGGGGATGAAAATCCGAGAGTGTTTTTTTTCCACCAACTTTCTGTGACTGAATTGGCTGAATTTGCTGAATGGTTTGGGGTTCCGTCATTTCAGTCTCATTATGCGTCCTGTGCGCTCGTGGATAGACTTTTCCCGCCAGCGGCAGAGAGAGAGAGAGAGGAGCGGTAATGGCGAAATGGGCACAAGGATATGGGAAGATGGAGAGGACAATGCACGGAAATGGGAGCATATTTAATAATGCGTAAATTATTGTCGCAATTTCGGGGAGCGATTTCTTGTGGCAGTGGAGAAAAGGAGCTGCCCCAATGACAGGGTGAGTCCGACATCAAAAGGACGAGCAATATTTATTGCAGGAGCAGATCTTCCATTTGACGACACAATTTAGCCGTAAATTTCCATCTCTCTTTTCACACCCATTTTTTATTTTCCTTCTGCACAAAAGCTCAACCAACCGAAAAATCTTCCCCATATCGATCAATTTGCGGGTGAAAATGGCAAAGCCACCACTTGAGAGTAGATCAGAGGATACTCCTTTTTTTTCTTCTTCCTTCCAACCACACAGGCGAATAATAAATTTCCCCCGAGGGGATCCTTGCACTTGGCACCATCATAAACCCATCATGCAGCACCTGACCCGCAAGATCCTCCCCCAACCCCCGCCACGTTGACACACACACACACCCCCGAATCCTTTTGCTTTATGTATGCAAATTCGCCAGCTCCTAAACCCAAACGCCCCACCGCGGGGGGTTGATGAAGATTATATGACATGAACTTTATATTATTGCTGTGTTCTTGGCGAGAGACGCGCCGAGTGGACGAAAGAGAGAGAGAGAGAGACTTTTTATGGCCCACCCTGTCCCCCACTGTGTGCCAGGCTAAATTCTTATTTATACCAAAACAGTGAAAATCTCTCTCTGACTTCCGCCACGAGGGGTGGAACTCTGCATAAGGCGCTCTTTATCGTAACTCAGTGACTCAGGGGCTGAAAACTACCACAGAAGCTGCACTGGAACGTGTAGTGGACAGTAGAAGAGCCTAAACAACTGCAAAAGTGGGCGGAGCATTGGAAGAGGCGGAGCTTCTCCACAGGAATACAAACGGCATCAATCTGCCAGCGACGCTGCGTGAGTAGTGAAGAGCCTCTGGAAATCACACACGGATTTGAGCGTGAGCGAGAAAGCAGTGATGCTCCCCTTTTGGCATGTCCGTGGATCGTTTGTCACACGTCACGGAGGTGAATTTTCATGGGATAACTCCTCTTTTTCACAGTATCGCGTGTGTGTGTGTGTGGGTGAAAGAGATTTTTGGACATCTTTATGGGAACGTGCAGAGCATAAAAGTGCGAGTGACTTCAGACAAAGCAGCAACCAAGAAGATTTACGCTATCTTGCCAGCCGTCCGGGCGTCATATTTCCCCAAATCTACTCAATTGATTTGCAAATCCATGCATTGGGAATATTTGTCAGTTATTAATATGCTTATTGCGGGGCGGATTTTGGGCGAGAATGTGTGTGTGTGCTTGCAAATTTCTGACAATATATATGTGTATTCAAAGTGCACGACCGTGGGTGGGAAAATGGTCAGGAATTGTGGGAGCCCCAGTGTTTTAGCGCCGTATGAAATGCAGAGCGCAAGATGACGCCGGAATTTATGCAATTCAATAGTCAGTTGTACAATTTCCCCACATTGGATATTCACAAGTGGCGGGAATCCTCTGCCCATGGTTTGCCCGAATGCGGAGTGAAATTTATGCACAGACAGAACCGGATGTGCTTTTCAGTATTAATGTGACATAATGATGTAGATGGTTGATATTGTCACGTTTCCCTCCGCCGGAATTTATGCATTTTTCTCTCTGAGGCGCGCGCGCGCGCGGCAACAAAAGACGGCGGCAAAAAAGAAGAGAATTCTATATTCACCCGCGTTCTAATGCTCTCGTGAACAATAAGTTGGGTCAGCGTGCTGTGGAGATACTTGAGGAGTCACTTAGTCACCCATCCCAATGCTTAATTTATTCCATTGCTGTAGCATTTCATCTGTGTGTGCGCCTCAAAATGTCTCTTCGCCTTTTGGCTTCCCGGATGACAGAAAATGAAAAGCATTTTGTCATCCCCTGAAATTGGGGGGTGGAGAGTCTCCGGCAGCGAGACAGCATGAGCATCAGATATGGAGATGGTGAATGTGTGTACATTCAACATGTACGGAGCAATATGAGAGGATTAAAATTCCGAGTAACACGTTCCTATTTACACCTGCAATTTTCTTGCATGAACAACCATAAATACACAACTGAGTCACCACCGAGGCATCACAACAATGTCACCCATGGTATTACACATTACATTATGCACTGGCACTCTTTGGGTGGTGGTGGCCTAGGTGCAAATGTTCCCACTCGCACTCCTGATTTCACCGCTGCTTGAGTGATAGGATTTGGTTTCGGTGGCACGGCTGTTGAATGGGGGGTTGATGCACACGTGACGACGACACCCCAGCTTCCGGTGGCGCATCTGGGCGCCCCCCGGATGGATGCCAGCCGTGGGTCGCTGTGCAAATTGGCGCTGATTAAGATTAACTGGCTGAAATCAAACTGCGACAGTGCGAGCAATACTTGCTAATGAGAAGTTGAGTGTAAGACAGATTGGAGCCCAGATATCAATCTGCACGCTCTGCACATCACTGCAGTGTGGCCTGACTGAGAGCAGCAGTAACATGTGCTTTTTAAGACTCATAAACACTCCTCATCCTGGGATGCAATTATTCACGTGATGCACTCAGCGAAAGAGATGTTTTATGACTGCAGCAGATCATGTTTTATTTCAATTAGCTTCAAGATTAGCTCACAGTGACGAGATTTTAAGTAGCGCCCTCCGCGACTCTGAGACGTTTTGATGTGTCGCGAATTTCCACGTGAAGCTAGAAGTCTGAAATTTTCCACCAATCTTCCCACATTAACAAGCAATAACCATGCCAAGTTTCAAGACAAAAAAGCCTTTGATTATTTTTCCAGTTAATTTGTTCTGGGTTCTTAAAGTGGTTTAAATTAATCCAAGATGTCTTCAGGACAAATGTCCTGTCGATTTTCATAATTTATCTCGAGTTTTTACCTGTTCGATATTAAAATTTGAATAAGTAAATATTAAGTTTTGAAGCGCGAAAAACGCGACTTCAAAGGATGGTACGGAGATTTATTGACTGCACAAGACAGAACATTTAATCAAGGAAATAACCAGAAGGACCTCTTATCCCAACAAGAGAGTTTAGAGTGCGATTGACCGCGTAAACAGTTCGATTTTGCTTCTAAGATTAATTTTGTTCCTTAAGGTCCCTCTGATCCTTTTAATTACCGCAAGAAACAGGTTTAAAGAGTTTGTATAAATATCCCCGAGCAGAGTAATTGAAGGACATCTTCGACTTCTGCCTTGACTGGTGGTTGAAGGAGGAGGAAAAAAACGCGCCTTTTCTTTTCAGAGCTGTTTAATAGAAATTTAATAGACTTTTCAAGATTTTTTCTCTCCTCTCTTTTCTGGGGTGTTGTAAGAAAAATTTCTCCATCAATGATTCTCATTGTTGGGGGTGAAAAGTTTTTTTTTTTTCTTTCAGCGAAAAAAAAACACCCTCGAGAGACCATTATGGTACTTTATAGTTTTCCTCATACTCTGTAAAGTGGGTTGAATAGTGGCTCGACGTCTTTCATGCAACTTAAAGCTGGGTGAGAAAGAAAAGCAATTTCCGCGGCGTCACTCTCGGATGGAAATTCTAATTAAGCAGCTTTATTCGATGTTGCAGTCAAATGCAGATTGTTTGACTTTGGCTTTTCTCTTTCTCTCCTTCCGCCTCGATGGCACTCCAATCTTCACCATTCCCATCCTCTTATCTCCTCTGGTGCGGATATACTTTAAATGGATTAGAAGGAGTGGCGCGACAAAATTCCCACCGCATGGAAATTGTGAATTTTCCCCAGCAAAAGTTCAATCATTATATTGGAAATGGATCTGGCCGATGGCGGAGGTGACATCAAATGAGAGATGTAAGCAAATGCGGAATTCGCATCACGTCCTCTTATATCGTGTGGCAAAAGCTCTGGGTGTCATATCAGAAGCCGCACATCTCTCGCCCAAGGAGGCGGAGGACATGTCCTCCTCCCGTCCTCACTCGGGAGCCTCGTTGGGAGCGCAGGATCGCATTTCCCAGAGTATTCTTCCTCTCTCCTTCCGCAAAGAGAGAGAGAGAGAGAGTGAGAGAAAATTTCATTCCCACTCCTGGATGATTATTTCATCCTTTTTCCGAATGCGGCAGGATTTTAAATTAAAAACTCATGGCGACGAGGATGTGAGCTTGACACCGTTGCAGGAGGACATCCTTATTTATTATTCCGATGGTTTCTCAAATTGAGTTTTTGGCTTTTCATTTTCCTCCCCTCGAATGTGTGTACTCAAGACTTTCCTCTCCATTCGCAACCCATCATTGGAAATCCTCTTGTATTCCTTTTTCCTTATTCCACAACTCCTCATGGCCACGAAACCCCATCATATGGGGCAAAAGGATGAGAGAGCAAAAGAGCGTGTGAGAAAATTCCTTCCATTGATTTTCAATGTGTCCTGATCAGATTCCATTGGAACACAATCCTATATTCTTTCCCACCCCCCGGGAGAAAAGTGATGAAGTCACCAATTTCACTTGATTAAGAATCCCTTCCCCATTGAATTCTGCGCCGTTGTCGGGCTAGTCGCAAAGTTGAATCATGCTCAATCTCCTCGTTACGTTTTTAAGACTCATCCAACAGAATTGGAGTCTCTCTCTCTCCTCAATCAAATGATCCGTGCTCCATCACTGAGGATTTCAACTATTCCAAGAATCCCCAATGCTGATTGGCAAGACAGCCAATGATTTGTCCTGCCATTCGGACAAGTCATCTCTCCACTCCTCAATGTCTTGTGGTGTGAGACAAGGTCACTGAACAATGACTAATCTAAGCTTGTCAGCAGACAATAAAGCGTCTTGCAATGCATGGAAATATCTGAAAAGAATCGCCACTAACTTAAAGTTTATGCACAGATCATTCCGTATTTACGGCTGTCTTGCCGCACACTTTATGCACATTTAAGCTCCTTATCAACGGCAAAATATCCTCTTGCAGAGGCTGAGAAAAAGACTGTCTAATTCTCATACTTCAGTTTAGATATAAATCTTCAGATATTCCTGAACGTCTTTAAAGGCAGTTTTAGACTATTTTTATTGTTTTTAACACTCATTTTTGACTTATCAGAATCTAATCTGGGGTTTTTCTGCCTTAAGAAGCTTAAGCTCATTTGTTCATGAACGATTTTCCGTCTTGATTTCCGATTTCTTGAGTTTTGTCTCTGGAAAATGCCTGAAAAACTTCGGGCCAAATTGTGAGGTTATGAAAACCGGCTATAAAATCTTCTTAAACTAATTTTAATTTCTTTCAAACCTGAAAATAAGTAAATATAGCAAATAATAAAGCACAAACAGTGGAAATAACTGAACAAACAGACATAATTTTTAACCTAAATTGACATTTTTGACGTTATGTTTGACTAGAAATCTGTTTTTATCTTCTGAAATTTAACCAATCTAAAGTTTTTCGAACACGAAAGCTCATCAGCGCCAAGAAAAAAGAGAAATATTCTCAATTTAACCACAATTTTTAGGATTTTCAGGTCTACATAACATAGAAAAGCAATGAAATAATTTAGAAAATGCGTCAATTTAATGAAACCGAAGCATTTGGCAATGCAATTCCAATTCTTAACACTTCCGTGAAGTTGTACACCACTTTCGACCGTAACATCTGCCCCTTGCGTTTAGTTGAGACAAATATGAAGACTTTCCAGTGTCTCTAGTTTAGTCTTAACTCTATTTTAATTAATTTACTCGGTTGTGTAGTATTTTCATACTCTATTTTCTGTATCTTCAACGGGTTTAACAGTTTTCTTTCATGTGTGTCTTTAAAAAGAAGCAATTTAACTCAGAAAAAAAATCAATTATAGCAAAGGAAATGCACTTTAAGGTTTTCTGCGCACTTGTGGAAAATATGTAGTGAATTTTATACACAATTTAGGTTAGCTATATTGTGTTGTGGATGCCACAAAACCTTCCAATGGCAGCGATGTGTGTGTGTGTATATACAGACATTTCCCTCAAAATAGTACACGAGCTTTCCCAAATTACTCCTGTAATGACTCCCTTTCGAGTGTGTCACTTTCCGCAAAATCAACCCGAAGGCAAAATGCCTTTTGTGTCTCCGAATGTATCTTGGTCCAATTGGCGGTCTCATGCGGATCTCAATTTGGAATTCATCATCATCCTTCATTAGAGAGCGCCTGAACGGGGGGGGGACGGCGATGATCAAGGGGGAATTAAGGCGGCTCACTTGGGGAACAAGCAACGCTTGCCCGGAGGTGAAACGCTCGCAATTTGAACTCCGTCCATGGGTCCAGATGAAATTCCAACAATGGCTCTGGTGATTATGAGATGATGAGAGGTTGCCGAAGGAGAGACTCGCCCCATAATAGATCCTCTCCTCAGACGCCCCACATTTAATCTGTTTTGGTGTACGAAAGGGGATGTATATTTTGAATAATCTCACTGGCAAGTCGCAATAAATTTTTCCATACTCCGCGCTCTGCGAATTACCATGAAAAGCACCCCAAGATGGATTTATGGCGCACAAACGTCGAGATGGAGAGAATTGCTGCAAGTACTACGTTCATTTCATTAAATTGCTTTTTCATCCCGTCTTCTTCTCGCCACCCTTTTTTGTGCGAAATGGTCCAATATTCGGCCCTCTGGCAGAAATATTCCCAGCTCTCGGGGGTTGGCGAGCCCCATTGGCTATGGAGTGTCCATCAAAGGGATGAATTTCAAATCTCTGCCGACTTTCATTTGCGACGCAAACAAAAGGAATCCCAGACCAGACACCCACTATAAATCTCTGACCGCTTATCACCGATAAATCCCCAAGCTAGATCTCCTCACAGTGTTCCGCATCCGCCAAGATTCGAGCCAGAAAAGGCACTGAAACGCCCTTTCTTTGTTCTCAGACGTCAAGGTGGTGCGAATTGACGATGGTTGTACGCTGCAGATGGCAAAAATCTGCTGAAAACCCACCATCTATAGATGAGAGAATAGTTTGTGGGCGGAGCATAAGAATGGGCGGGGCATTGAAGTTCTAGCGAAGCTGTTTTCTTCATTTGCTGCTGAAGATTTGAATGATTTGGATTAGATTTTCTTCCCAAATACTCAGCAATCGTTGCAGAAGGAACACACATAGCGCCACGGTGGCATTTATCAGAAGCTCGCAAGTTAGAGTGATGTTACATCATTAAAATGCAACGAATTTTTGCATACTCTCTCTCTCTCTCTCTCTATCTTCTTGCTGGAAGATGCTGGAATGCAAGAAGTACAAACAGACGAGGAATCTTAAAGTCAACGAATATGAACGTGCCTTGGAGGGATTAGCGCAATCTCTTCTCCACGCGATTCACCTCGAGCGGAAAAGGGCGGTTTGTGGAGCCAGCATCACACATTCAAATGGAATTTTATCGTCTTATCGCGATAGACCACAATTTTTGCTTTTCTCAGCTTTCCCACCACATCATATAAATCTTGTGCTGTGGCAGCTCTGGTGGTAGAAGCCATGGCGTAAACAAGCCCCCTTCCCAACACCCATTTGCATCCCCTGGTGATCCAACTCAGTTCAGCCCTTATTGCTCAATATCGATGTATTTTTTTTCCGCCGCCAATGCGAAAATGTCTTCAGGGCGAAATCCGAAATGGCTCAAATTCCAGCATAAATCCACCGATTATTAATGCCGAACAAATTCCGTTGCAGCGCAAATCCACGCTTCGGGAGTGTTCTAAATAACGCACTAAGTTAATTACGAGGATTAGCTGGTAGTGAATTTGCAATATTTCGCTTTTAACCAGGTGGAATGGAATATTTAATGGGTGTCATTATGATATTTTATTTTAAATCCTAACCAGTGTTTTTAATCCTCTCGGGAGTGTCCTGAAAACTTTGCACAGCTTCGGGGTGAGGCATTATTTATGCAATTATTGCGTTATTAATCACCACAACTGAGAGGATTTCTTTCCACATCACCTCTACGCGGTAATTGCAGTGAATATGAATATTCATCAGGAGAGATTAATCACACTGGATGGTGATAATGAGGAATTGCACGCAGAAGTGACTGGCAAAGTGGAATAATTTCCCCTTTGGTGTCCCACACGATGTGGTGAAAAAAAAAGGAGAAAACAGAGTATAAAATAATATTCGAAAATTTATTTATTTCCCTGAGAGTCTGTGTGTTCTGTGTATTCTGGTGCAGATGGCGCAAATTGATGTGTGCGGATAAAGTCTTCACTCGCCCCCCCAATTTTTCCACCCACGCCGCATTGCCTCATCAATTTCTGTATTTTCTCCGGCTTCCCTTCGAGCATCCAAAATGGATTTTCCGGATGCGGCGAGAATTTAATTTTCGGGCTCTCCACCCGAAATTTCGAACGCAATAGGGTTAATTCGTTGTTTTTTGCGCCAACGTGCGTGTGAGTGTGTCTGAAATTGTTATTGTTTTGCCGGCGGTAATTGAGTGTGTGCGGCTTCTAAAAATAACCCCCCCCCCCCCCAAAAGTCCCTCTTTGCCCGGAAGTCCCGACCAGCCCCGCAATATCGTCGCCACTCGAGAGGGTGGCGAAAGAAATTACCTTAATGCCCAAATTGCTGGGACTTGCTCTTCCGTGGGTTTTTGCAGAAATTATAATCTTGCGGCTAAAGCCAACCCCTCGTCAGCCTCTCTCTCACTTGGCAGCCGAAGCGGCCAAGAGGAAACTATCTGCAAAGCGATACATCAACTGTAAAATTTCCACAACATTAAAGAGATAATTAACCAGCGCGAAAAGAAAAGTGCCACCATTTGGCGGGGAGGAGAAAGACAGTGGCGGCGGTGTGAAAAAAATCTCAGGGGTGGTTTCTGGCCGTGAAGTGGGGCGCGGCAGGGCGCACTTGGCAGAGCGAGAAAGTGCAGGCGCGAGGGTGAGATGGAGAAATGCTGCCGCAGAAGCTTTTGTTTGTTTATAGCTTTTCAGATTAGATAAGTGCAGGAACCGAAAATTTCATTATATTTTATTGCATCTTTCTCTGGCAGCGCCATCATCATTTCATCCCCACCCACTCTGGGGGGAGTGAGACCCAGCACCCTCCAGGGGCTG